TATGTGGGATATGTATGGGGGGGTGAAGCAGGAGGAGGTGGCGGAGGAGGGAGTCAAGACGGGGGTGGTTGGGGATGGTGATGGGAGGAGTTTGTCGAGGAGTTCGTCCAAGAGGTTGAAGGAGGGGCTGAAGAAGAAGTTATCTGTCAGGAAAAAGGACACATCAGCGGCATCTTCGACGACCAGTCTTGACAAGTTGGCGACGGGCGCGTCGCAGAAGCAGAAGAGCAAGACGATTGCTCTCCAGCCTGAGGGGGCTGCTGCAAAGGCGGATGGTGACCGGACCTCACTTCCGGCCAAGACAGAGTCACGGTCACAGTCGACAACCAGTCTACAGAATGCAGGCACCTTCTCGTTTGCTGACCCGTCAGAACCGGGCGGGCAAGCAGTCATCTTTAAGCCTGCAAAACCGATCCGGATACCCAACAGCGACGTCAACATCTCGGTCGAGCGAAGAAACAAGGCACCGGGGAGCATTGGGTTAACCATGGTCACGGCTGTCGCCCATGTCTGGTTCAACACATTCTTCGAGGGCAACGGTCCCGAGCAAGGCGGTAAACCGGACGATAGCGGAGTCTTCACGATTGACTGGGACAAGATGGACGGCATCAAGGGCTCAAGTCAGCGCGGAACAAGAGCTTGCGACAGGATTTCTGTTGTTTGGAGGACTGCGGCCGTCAGCGATATTGGAGAGGGTGGTGAAGCGCCAGGAGTAGTTATTCATGAGCCTGGAGAGGGCAGCCCTGTGCCGGAAATGAAGGCAGCGGACTGGAAGGGTGACGGAACGGAGAACCCGACTGCGCAAAAGACACTTGGGTTGCGGGTGGAGGATCCCGAGAGTGCGAGTGTTAGTAAGGCTAGCAGTGTCAAGAGCCAGGAGTATACGATTGCACCTTCCAATGACAGTAGTGAGATGGCTAAAGTGGAAGAGGAGGATGAAGACTTGAAGGGGGTCAAGGTTAGCGGTCCCACTGGGGAGGAGGTGCTGGATGGGGTTGCGGGTGGAGATGGTGAGCCACCGAAGAAGGAGAAGGCTGATGAGACGGCCAAGAGGGGGTTCATCATTGAGTGAGAGTAAGCTTTGTTTACGGGTTATGCTGCGTATGTCGATATAAGCAAGGCGTTTGGTATGGTTAAACAGTGGTAAGGAATACAGGACATTGGGTTGTGTAGGCACCTTGATAACACAGCCGAGGGTGCCAGGGGTATTCCAAGGTTGCTTTCCGCCCCTCAACAGGGGAGTTGAAACTTGAGATGGTCAAAGAACTCTTGGAGGCCTTGACGGATAATCGGCGAACGTTCCGTTGGAAAATGAAATTGGTACTCTTTGCTTTGGCTCGTGGTTCACGTCCCTGTGTAAGGTTCATGTGGGTTCTCCCAGAACGCCGTGTAACAGAAGGTTTCCAGCCGTCGAACAAAGTTTGCACCATGATGGCCGGTGATTCATCACCGTAGGGTCAGTGTTTGGTGGGAATTTGCATGATGATGAGTTGAGGGCTTCGTAGATCAAGTGTCCGTTTATATGCGATAGTATCCCCCCGGGGCGTTGGTGATTCACTTGCTTGATGATTCACTTGCTTGATATGACAGAACAGCTGATGAAAACAGTAGGGCTCACGTGCGGCAAAGGAGCCGGCTATCGATAAGACAGGATGCTCGGCTTAGTGGAGTACGGATGGCAAGGTACCTGGGGAAGCTCGGGCTGGACCCATCTCCACTGTATCCATTGTTTCTTTCAACTTTTTCTCTTTCGACCGCCATGGGCCCTTTACCCATTCCGACACCCGCAGCAGAGCTTATAGACTATTCACTGGCTTCCTGACGACACACTTTCGCTTTTCCTTTTCCCATCACCACCAACCTCTCCGTCGTTCAGGTACGTAAGAGCAACCCCGGTCACCGTTGCCCTCTTGGCACCTGTACATTCTCGCAGCACACTTCGCCCCGCAGCCGATGTTCCCCGCTAACAGCGCAACCTGCAGACCAAAAAAAAAAAAAAACTTGACGATTTGTTCGGGTCTTGTCTGACGCAGACAGGCCCCTCTTGATTCTTCTTCTTCATCATGTCGGCAGAAATGGCGAACGAGATCAAGCTGATCAGTGGCCGCAGCCACCCCGAGCTGAGCGACAAGATTGCGAAGCGGTACGAACTCCCCTCCGGACAGCGAGACAGACAGACGAGAGAGAGAACGAGAACGAGAACACGGACGGAATAGTAGAGCGCGCTTTTGCTGATTCACTTACACAGACTCGGCATTCAGGTGGCGAGGACCATCTCCCTCAACTACTCCAACCAGGAAACCTCCTTCACTGTCGGCGAGTCGGTCCGCGACGAGGATGTCTTCATTGTGCAGTCCACCGCTACCGGCGACGTGAACGAGGGCTTGATGGAGCTGTTGATCATGATCTCGGCCTGCAGAACTGCTAGGTGGGCAACGACATGACCATCACCGAGTGAACTGCACGTTTGCTGACCTTGTGGCTTTGCGCGCAGTGCGAGGAGGATAACAGCTGTTATGTAAGAGCTTTCAAACAGATCGCGCCAATTCCCACCATGACGGATACGGGCGCTGACTGACCATTGCAGTCCCAACTTTCCCTATGCTCGTCAGGACAAGAAGGACAAGTCCAGAGCTCCCATCAGCGCCAGATTGGTCGCCAACATGCTCCAGACAGCTGGCGCGAACCGTAAGAGAGCCGCGCTCAATCTCGCGGCGCAATGCTGACAGATACAGACATCGTGACGGTCGACCTCCACGCTTCTCAGATCCAGGGCTTCTTCAGTGTCCCAGTCGACAACCTCTACGCCGAGCCCTCTTTCCTCCGCTACATCAGGGAAAACTTCAACCCAGAAGACTGCGTCATTGTGTCACCCGATGCCGGCGGTGCCAAGCGCGCTACCTCGATTGCCGATCACCTCAACACCGCTTTCGCTCTCATCCACAAGGAGCGCCCCCGGCCAAACGTTGTCGGTCGCATGGTCCTTGTCGGCAACGTTGAGGACAAGGTTGCCATTCTCGTTGACGACATGGCTGATACCTGCGGCACTCTGGTCAAGGCTGCCGCGGTGCTCAAGGAGAACGGCGCCAAGTCGGTGCTGGCCCTTGTTACCCACGGTATTCTGTCTGGCAATGCCATTGAGACCTTGAATGGAAGCGTCCTCACCGCCCTGGTGGTCACCAACACTGTGCCACTCGGCGACAAGGTGCAGAGGTGCCCCAAGCTTCGTGTTATCGACATCAGCCCGACCGTTGCCGAGGCCATCCGTCGTACTCACAATGGTAACTGCCATATCTCTCCGCTCCCTGTGCTCTGTACTGACCTGTGTAGGCGAATCCGTATCGTATCTTTTCACTCACGCCCCCGTCTAAATATGCGGGTTGGCGGATAATTCATCATGCATTGGTAGGAGTTTAAAAACTGGTAAACGACATGAAAATGACGAGAGGTGAGGTGTGAGCGCTGCGTTCTTGATCCGGGCGGTGGACTGCCACGTCTGTTTGTTCTCGTCTGAGAACTCGTGTCTGGGGCAGGCAGTGGGCAAGTGAAAGTCCAGCCATCCCGAATACGATTTCAGGGGTATTGCTTTGGCGTTTGGGGAATTTTCGTACCGGGTATAATAGAGACGATATGATTCTCTAAGAAACAAATATATCATGATTTTTTGCTGATCTCAGTTTTTTTCCCCTTTTGTGAGAATACCGCAAGGTCGGTCTGAACAGTGGGTGTCCCAAGTATCACTCTATCGATGAGGTTTGAATATGCAGTCGGTATTTCTGAGAATAATAGGGGGTTTGTTTGTTTTTAAAATGGGGTCCGCCTCCGCTATTTGAATGCTGTCAGGGTTCACGGGGAAGTAATGAGGGGACTAATGGGGGTCTTGTTGTAGGCGGTTGTTTGAAGAAAGGGGTCTGTCTGGTTCTAACTTCGGCGATGTTGGATAATAGAGTTGCAAATCAACTATAGGTGGTGGAATAGAAATACCGGCCTACAAAACGACAACACGATGCCCCGGAAGCCTCCGTCCCACCGGGAACGCTGATGATCATCGTGGCCTTGGATACTACATTCAAACGGCCAGCCCCCTCTTAACAAATCCATGTCGCTGTTCGGTTCCTTTGCTACCACGAAATCTACACTCCCGACCATAGCTGATAAAAAGGCCCGACATCATACTTTTCGTCCCGGGAGATAACCCTATTGGGCTGATTTTCCGTTAATCTGTACCCACTACGGGAGGTGCCGATGCAGCGCGGGAAACCATCGGGGGTGCCGACGCCACGTCTGAGGTGACGGCATTTGAATCTGTCGGGTGAGTAAGGCCAACAACTCCTGTAACCTCAACCCTCAAGCACAAGAGAGGCAGAGCACAGCCTTGCTTGCTCAGCCAGTCTACCTCATCGTTGACCGAGTGGGGAGTTTTGCGTGCCAAGCATCTACAGCTCCGGCGGTGAAACATGAAACATAGGGAGAGAATGGGAACCGATAAATATCACAGTGTTTGTCTGAGATGGATGTCATCATGTCTTGGGTTACCGGGCCGTTCACACCGAGACAAACGTTGTAGATCCTGTCGGCTTCAAGAATTCATCGCTATATCCATCGAAAAATCACATCACTTCACAACTTCATATCTTGTCTCGTTTGCAAGCTCCCCATCTACCTTGCAATGTCCTCTCTCACATATGTTGTCGACGAGCTCGCCGCTGAGGTCCCTCACGATACCTGGGTCAAGATCCCATCATCACCGACCAAGATTGAAGAGATCACATGGCAAAACTTTACCTTCCAGCAGCTCGGCCAAGCGGTAGACAGGCTAGCTCACTGGATCGACAAACACTTGGGCCCGGCTGGCTTGGGCCGGGACGACTCCCTTGCCTACACGGGCATCAACGACATTCGATACCCCATAGTCATCCTGGCGGCGTTGAAGACCGGGCACAAGGTTGGTAACACCATGTGAGGTTACCGCGACCAACTCTAACAAATAGCAGAGCCTTCTATTATCGCCCAGAAACTCCGTTGAGGGCCACTGCGCTCTCATAACCCCTACCCGCTGCACCAAACTTCTTCACAGCCAAGAGCTCTCCGACCAAGCTTCTGAAATCGGTCAAAAGCTCGGCCATCTCAGCGTCCTCCGCATCCCAGACCTGGAACACCTTCTCGAGACCACCACCAACCCCACCCCGTACCAGAGCAAATGCAATGATACGACCCCCGACCACGAGACAGTCATGATCCTCCACTCAAGCGGCACCACCGGCCTCCCCAAGCCCATCCCCCTCAAAGCCGGCGTCCTCACCACCGCCGGCAGACTACTCGCCACCCTCCCCACCCCCGCCGGCCGTCTAAACACCCACGACCCGCTCTACACCACCCCCCTCATCCTCTCCATGCCCCCCTTCTTCCACGCCTTTGGCATAAACCTCCTCGTTCGATCCCTCCACTACCGCCGCCCTCTCGTCCTCCTCCCACCCAGCACCCCCCCAACAGCAGAGCTGATGCTCCACGCAGTGAAAACCACCCGCCCGACAGGCATGGTCTGCACCCCTTCTATTCTGGAAGATATCTGCAGTTTGCCTCACGGGATTGAGACCCTGAGGGCGTCAGATATCGAGTGTATCTACTCCGGCGGCGCACCACTAGCCAGGTCATGCGGCGATGTCATTGGGGAGGAACTCTCCCCTCGTATCACGCTGGTGAACGGGATCGGCACGACCGAGATTTGGAACGCGACCGGGTATGCACCGCTGGACCCGAGGGATTGGGAGTATTTCGAGTGGAATCCTGCGGCGGGGGTTGTCATGGAGGGGGTTGGTGGAGACAAGAATACTGCCGAGTTGGTGATTAAGCGGTTGGGAGGGGAGGAGGGGAGGTTCCAGTTTGTGTTTTATAACTTTCCCGAGTCGGAAGAGTGGCGGACGAACGACTTGTTTGAGCGCCATCCGCTGAAAGAAAATTTGTGGAGGTATGTGGGACGGGTGGATGATGTTATTGTGCTGAGTAATGGGGAGAAGCTGAATCCGGTGACGTTTGAGAAGATGGTGGAGGGGCATTCGATCGTGAAAGGGGCGGTGATGGTGGGGAGTGGGCGGTTCCAGACGGGACTGATTGTGGAGGTACATGATGTGAGTTTGGGGGTGGAGGAGGTGGTTGAGAGGATTTGGGAAAGGGTTGAGGAGGCGAATGAGCAGTACCCAGCTCATGCGAGGGTGTGGAAGTCGATGGTGAGGGTCGCGCGACAAGACAAGCCGTTTGAGAGGACGCCGAAGGGGACGGTGATGAGGAGGAATACGTATGTGGCTTATCAGGCCGAGATTGAAGAGATGTATGCCAGTGCGATGGTTATCAATGGGGTTGCAGCTGAGGTTGTGTTGGACGAGACCATGATCTTGGCTCAAATTCGGGATGCGGTCAACAGCGTGATCAAGCGACGCGGAGACGTTACAGACGACACCAACCTGTTCGCCCTTGGCTTCGACTCCCTTCAAGTCCTTCAGCTCATCCTCACCCTCAAAAGCACCGTCCAATCCAGCCTGCAAGGCAAATTCTCGCTCCGTCTGGTCTACGAGAACCCCAGCATCAGCCAACTTCACCGCGCTCTCTGCTCTGCCCCAGCCACCGCCACCACCAACACGTCAAGAGCAGACAAATTCGACGCGCTCATCAAAGAATACACCCCCTCCCTCCGCCTCCCCCGTCCTTCCCACACCGAACCCAAAGGCTTCAAAGTCATCCTCACCGGCACAACCGGCACCCTCGGCTCCTCCCTCCTCTCCTCCCTCCTGGCCAACCCAACCATAACCCACATCTACTGTCTCAACCGCTCCAAACCCATCTCCCCTAACACCTCCCAAGTTACATACCTCCAAACCGACCTCCTCCACCCTACCCTCGGCCTCTCATCCAAAACCTACAACACCCTCAAACACCCCCAACTGCTAATCCACTCCGCTTGGCCCGTTAACTTCAACCTCCCCTTCGACTCCTTCCTCCCTTCCATCTCCGGCACAGCCAATCTCATGGCCCTCAACCCAGCAAAATTCGTCTTCATCTCCTCCATCGCCACCGCCATGGCGGGGACCTCACCTGTCCCGGAAAACTTCACCCAAGACCACAACCTCCCCTTGTCGACAGGGTACGCCGAGTCCAAACACCTCGCCTCCTGTGTCCTGGCCAACTCCCCCATCCCGAGCACAATTCTGAGGGTAGGGCAGCTTGCTGGGAGGGCAGATGGTAAAGGGAGACGGTGGAATAAACACGAGTGGGTTCCTAGCTTGGTGCAGACATCCCTCAACATGGGGATGATCCCGTCCACCTTGGGGGGGAACCAAAAAGCAGTGGATTGGATACCCGTTGATCTTGCCGCTAAGGCGATTGTGGAGCTGGGGTTGGGGGGCAGTGGGAAGGGGAGGGAGTGTTACAATGTTGTCAACCCCTCCTGTGCTGATTGGGAGGGGACGATGGTTGGCGCCGTGCAGGAGTATGCAGGCAAGACTGAGAGGGGGGAGCTAAAGGTGGTGGGGGTAGCAGAGTGGTTGGATGCTTTGGGGGAAAAGAACGACGCAGAACGGTACCCGGCCTTGAAGCTGAAGGAGTTCTTTGAGGGGTGGAGAGACGAGAGACAGGGTCCGGTCATCTTTCAGACAGACAAGGCGAAGAAGACAAGCCAGACGATGGGGAAGATGGCAGCTGTGACCGGGGAGATGATGAGTCGGTGGCTGGATGCTTGGGCTTTTTGACACGATAGGGTGTTAAACCGTAGACATGGACAGGAATAGACCATCCCTCGCGCACTCATGCCTTCCATTCGGGTATTTAGATCCCCATATCATCATCACTATCCCCATCCCCACCATAACCACCCCTGCCCCCATCTCCCCCACCCAGATCCATCTCTTCCTCTTTTTCTCGTCTCGCCGTCTCGACCGCACCACCAATCTTCCTCACCCCATCCACAACCCCCAAGACAAACCCCCTATTCTCTGCCAACTCCATCGCTCCCACGCCACGCAGACTAACCACACCCCCTTGTCCTTCCGCCCCCAGCGTCTCCGCCGAATCTCTCATCTTCGCCGCCCTGACCTCCACCAAATCCCGTAACAACCCCCTAATCTCACTGGTATTCCCCCCCAAATCATCGCTCGCGTGCGTTATAAGCGCCTCGGCAACCTCCAACCAGTGGTACGGCAAATACCCCGCCGGCGCGGCGCTGGTACAATTATTCCGAAACGGCGGGCTTAATATTACTTCGCTGCTGTCACCCCCACCTATCCTCCCCGCATAACCAGGTTGTGACTGTCTCGCTCGTGAAGCGGTAGGCATTGGCTCCGAGAAAGCGTGAGGGTGCACTTTCGTCTCGCGGTGGACAATGTCGGCTAGGGAGGCGGGGTGCAGCCATGGTGGGGGGACGATGTTGGCGCGGCGCTGCTTTTTGAGGAGGAGGGCTAGCCAGAGGGGGAGGTCGGCTCGGTGGGGTGGGCGGAGGGGGGGGGTTTTGCCCTGCGGTGGACGAGATGTTAGACCAGGCGGGGAAAAGGGAGAGGTGGTGGCGGTGGGAAACATACCGACAGCAGATCGATGCTTTCTAATCGTTGTCTAGGAACCACTGTGACGAGCTCCATTTCGGCGACGAAGGCGACCTCGGAATGGGTAAGGCCTAATGGTAGAGGGAGAGCCATTGTGAATAGTTGATGGGGGGGCGGGAGTTGCTGGTGGGTATCGTGGGATTCGGAAAGTACTGTGGTATATAGTGTCACCTCTTCATGTCGTATTTTGGTTGTTATATGATTTTAGTCGCAATTCGAGAGCTCTGGCGGTTGGGAATTAGCTGAACTGCCATCGAAAGTCGGCGTGTCGCGTAAAGTGAAAACGCGGGTCACTGACGTCGCCTGGGGCCCACAAGGCTGGACCGCCAAGCCACTAGGGAAAAGGGGTTTATAGGTACCCTAACCCTGAATCAGGTTGTTTCCTTGCTTGTGATCTTGATCCAACCCCTATGATCTATCTGAGCTATGACACTTGCATACTGCCGCAAAGAACCTTGTACTTCCGCCAATACAACAAGATCCCACACCTCGGACAAAGATCTGTCCCCTTGTCACCCGTAGGAAAACAAGCTTTCGAATATATTGGCTTGGTCAGCCGCGAAAATATGGCAATATGCAAGGTCGATTACGAAACAAAACTGTCCAAAAAACATCTATGGTATCAAAATGTATCTACAAGCAATCCCCCAACAATGACACGTTGCGTCTAGGGTAATTATCCTGAGTGCTGACGGGGCTGCAGCATAGGGCTCCCGTCTGACATGAGCAGGGCGGTCGGTAAGAATCTTCCCCCAACGTCGTCACAAAAATATCTTCTTTCGGCTGATTGGGTAAGCAAACCGCTTCATTGGTCGAGGTACTGAAGTGCTGGATCAATAGCACCGCCATATTCACCGCTTGATGAAAGGTCCTGGCCGAGGATCCCGAGAGCTGCTCGACTGTCCCAGAAGCCGTCTCGTCGTGGGTATTGTGTGAGCAAGGCGGTGGCGTCTGCTCGGACGGTGGGATCCAAGCATTTGGTTGCCGCAATGTAGAGAGCGCAAGTCGGCCCGCTGTCCAAGGTGAATATTTCGCTACATCCTTTGGAGACTGGTTGGTTGGCCAAGAGGACTCCAGAGAGGCGCACCATTTCTTTGAACTGCGATGTGATCTGTTCAGTGCCGTAGTGGTCTTGAAAGCCACAAGTGTTGATGTAGGCGTGAAGCACGATAGACTGGAGAAGCAGAGACGTCGCCTGAAGATAGGATGACCCCTTTCGAGGAGAGCTTGCCGGATTGTAAAGCGGCCAAAACATGTCATTCCACCGTTCTAACATTCCAAGACACTGTGATTGCATGGTCTTGATCCCGGGCAGAAAGTCTCCATCCGCGTATGTTGGCCCAGCCATGGCTTGGCTGAAGTACAATGTCCAGTGCTGGATCGCGTCCCACCATCTTCTGGCCTCCCCGAGCCCGGAGAACTTGGTGGGCATGTCGTCTAGTGAAAGCCTGCTGTTGATTTCGATGGGTACTTGAACTGAGCCAGTCATGAGGCCGATAGACCAAGCAGACCATTCCATCCTCTCAAATGCTTGCAGAATCTCGTCTTCTAGTTCGAGCTGGCCCACGCTTGCTTGCCCTGAGAGCATGAGACTGCCAAAACTGATATGATTGACGGCAGCTCCGTGGCTCCCATGCAGAATCTCGAAGCACGCAAAGAGAATGCAAGCAACAACTGCCACACGTAGAGTAGAAGCAGAGTTTGGCTCCTGTTGAAGTCGGATCAGTCGGATTGCTTGTCCGTAGTGCGTGAGGGCCGCGTTGTAGTGATAATCGTTGCCGTCCCCTCCTGAGGGCCCTGCTGGAACAATGTTTGGAAAAAGCGAGCAGGCAAGAGCACCAATGGCCATGAGAGCATACCGAATGGCCGGTTCAAGTTGGCTTATCTGTGGGATTGTTTGGGTGAACAACCGAGAGGAGAACCAGCCTCCCCCGAGATTATTGGCCAGACTGGACCAACAGTCACAATAAAATGTCTCCCAGTGCTCGTCAGATTCATTGTTTTGGGAAGACTCCTGTGAGGAGTTTTCTCCCGCGCCATACTGGTCGCTCAGCTGCAGTGCCTCGAAATTGTCGGGAAGCCCCGAATCGCTCTTCTCAGACCGGGCTGATGGGGAAGACAGCCGCCGTCGTTTGTCGTCTCTCGGGGGCGCCAGTTCGGCTGTCTTGTACCCATCACAGAATCCTTGCCATTTCAAGCATCGCTGGCATGCAGGCTTGGCCTCGTCGCATTTCACATGTCGTCTCCTAAAAGGCACACCGTTGTCAATATGGCGCCCATGGTGTGTTGGAACAAACAGGCTGCCGAGTGATGACCTACTTGCCTGCAGCAGCAACTCTCAGTCAGTAATAGGCCTCTCGTCTATGCAGTATTTCGAGACTAGTGACCCACATGTAACACAACCGGAGCGCACTTTCGGTACGCTTGTCCTTGTGGCTCGTGGCCGGTGGTCCAGGCTGAAGACAAAAGACTGGGGACCAGAACTGTGTTGCGAGTAAGCTAGATCAGTTTCGGCCATGCAAGCGATAGCGAGAGTTCAACCCACCCTTCTGGCACATTACTATCCCCAGTAGACCACGGAGTCTTGACCTTGAACATGCCAGTTCTCTTAGAGGAAGACATGATGGATATTCGATGATCTGGGATCGAAGAGAATGAGTAGGTCTTCGGATCACCTGTCCACACACCCAACCTCTCGATAAGGGGGGGACATCGAGTCCAATTTGAGGAAAACAGACCCAAAATTGTACGGTGCCAAGATGGTGGCTTTGTGATTCCGAATCCAGGGTCCGGGTTACCAAGAGGTACTGCTGTGCTCGGCATGTCGGGTTGGATAAGACGAACGTCACAAACCTTGCCGCCATGAGGAGGTAAATGCGGAAGCCTGGTGGGTACGGTTGCACCACATCATCTAGGGTGTGCCAATAGCTTCCGGCAATGGATGGGTATGGGACGTACTTGTCGTATCAGGGGGCTGAGATAAGTCGTGATCCTGAGCAAGATCAAAGTATATGCCAGGTACAGCCACTTTGGGTCGGAACGTGGTTGTGGATTCGGGTCGAAATACTCCACACATCATCCCGTTTCTTGGTGCCTGTGACATGACAAGGAGTCTGGAACTGGGGACCGGGCGGACAGACAGTGTGGGGGGATGTTCTTTTGTTCCATACCATGGCGCCGTCACCGGTGTCTAGGTGGTCTGAACAATGACCATTCAGCTATCGCCCGGTAACTGCCATAATGCCGGTCGAGCTGTCTACCACACGGCGTCAAGCTCGAAGCCAATGACAGCACGAGTGAGAGCGAGCGTTTCCTACACCAACGGGACACAACGAAGCGATCTGTACAATCTGCAATCAGCGCCATGTCAGCATCGAAACTCCATCACACCACGGGCCAATCCATACAATTACCACATGAGCGGAGGTTGTAAGGAGGCTTAGTCGCTTTAGCGGTCTTGGCCCTGCAAGTCGAGGAGCGGACGGGAAGCGGAGGTGCGGCCGCATGCATGTGTCAATAATCCGTGGTTAGATGAATGACCTCCGGGTGGTACTACCTCACATTACTGAAACGGGGTTGGTGTGAGATTGGGCTTCAAGATGGAGTCAAGAACGTCACATACCGACTGTGGTACAATGTTTGGTGGGTGAGCATTTGGGACAAACACTTTGGTGGGCAAATTGCTGTAGTAAGCTGGCGCTTAACTCTGTTTGCCCTAGCGTGTGGCACCTTGGCCAGGTTATCAGGGCTAATTGTCCCTTTGAACAGACCTAAAGTCAACGTCAACTCCCGAACATCACAATACCTATTCCAAGTTGACCAACATCATGATTGCTGACTGTATCCAGAGATGTCAGGCAACGATTTACTTTCTTGCCATCAACCCGAGCGAATATACACGAACGGACTTCCCCCTTTCACCGCCAAACATCAACACCCAAACCTGAATTGCACAATTGCATCTCCAGATGCCAAGCAATCAGATTGGGAAGGAGCAAGGGTAGGAAACCATGTGAGTTGATTGGTCAAGCAACGATCTCATTGAACACACTCTGCCTTGCTGACAGCCTAAGCTGAGAATCTATCTTATTATTGCTCTCATTCAGCTCGCATTTTGTTGCACGGTACTGACATCACAGAGTTCAAAAAGAGTAACCCGTATCCGACCCGGACATCTCCTCCTACAATCCAACAACTCAAGTGCTCGACTTATCTCAAGTACATGTCAGACTTCTTAGGCAACGACAAAACCAACTTCTGGCGAGATTAACGCCGCTGACGGTCAAATGTTTGGAACTCGAGCCGCAAACTTTATTTTCTTCCTGGAATGATATCCAATCGGTTGCCGCTGTCGTGTTAATTAAGTCTTGGGGCGGGCCGAGGTCCAAATGTTACCTTGACTGACCTTACCATCTTCACGACGTTTCAGGGGAATCGACATTACCAGCTTCATCTCGCGCGACTCTATAGGATGGCCATGTCAGCAGAATTCCACGAAAGGTTGTTGCCTGCTCATCACGAAGTCATCGACAGATACATAACACAAAAACTGTCCTCCTACCTACTTCGACATGGAATCCAAGATTATTGTCATTCTTATTGCTAATCAAATTCTCCAGCTCGGGCATGTGCACATATCGAATATTGGTTCATTCTATGTGACAGACCTATGCATTGGTTCTTTTTTGCTACCATTGGCGTTGGGTAGGAACTCGACCCTTGCATCAGCCCATGAAAATCGCTAGCTCATGAAAACACAGCCCCCCTCACCCCACATCGCCCACAACACCAACACCAACCTTCACTTTTATGTATCGATGGGAAATCTCAAGAAGCACCGGCCCGTCTAATTCCATCCCCGTCTCATGTTGGTTCCGGTTCCACTCGCGCGTGCGGCGAGGCAGACCAGGGGGCATTCTTCCCGGCTGACTTGCATTGTCACCAAACCCCACCGCTGCCACTGTGCAACGGAACCCCTTACCCAGAAGCGACCCTCGTAACGGCATCCGAAGGGAGGTTGCCACGTTGTTCACACGATTTACCCGCGGCAGATATTATTCCTCTTGCTGAATCATTAGTCCCCATGCACAGTCAAACAATCAAGCTTTCTGTGTAACCACAGGGGGGTAGTTGCTTATGAAATCTCATTCTCTTGGTAAGTGAGGGCACTCCTACTGCCTCCCAGCGCAGCTTGAACTACCTACCCAGGCATAACCTCAGTCTACAGAAGGCCACGCGTCAAAGAGTCATGTTATCATATCGACAGAAGTCCGCGGCCAGATACCAAGGATTCGTGCATATGGATGTACATAACCGTGTCACCTCGGCAATGGCAAAGCCACAATGGGGTTGCGCCAACAACGCTACCCTATAAGCAAAATCAAAGAGATCAAGTATCATGACGGAAAGGCGGGCTCAGCTCCGTCTATCAAGCTCACGATCAGTGAGCCGTAAGAGGAAGGTTGACAAGAAATCCTTCATTACCTCAGCTACCTTACTTCTGGCCAACTTGAAAAATCTTGAAATATTTCACTGCTAGGGACTGAATGACCAAGGCAGTGCTGCAATCTACCTAGCCAACCTATCAAGCAAGTAAACTCCCTGTTGGAGGCCTCCCATGGTTTAGCCAGCTCTCCTGAACCACAAACTTCCGACGAAAATAGGCACCAGGCGTGCTGGCAAGACACAATAATGCCATGAAGAGACCAATATTACAGTGAGAATTTTCATCATGCCAAAAAAAAAACATTTTAATTCTCAGTTCTAGACTAAGCTCATTTATCTATACATCAAGCGTCACCTGTCAATCTACAATACTTCCTGACCCAAAACTCTATCCAGGGGGACGGAAGCCCCATCTCTAACCTTATCACCGGCCTTGTAAATCAGTTCAGCGATTAAATACCAGAAACCATCATGAGCACCGGCCTTTTCTCACAAGTCTGTGGGCCCCCTCGCCCATGACAGCTCGGACACAAAGTCAGAAGTATAACGAGCGCAAGACAGGCGAGATGCCTCCTCCTCCAGAGAGCCTCTTTCATGAACTCACGCTGGTGGTCGAAAATAATCCAGACAAGGCTCCCAACATGCCAAACAACCGGGACGACCCTGCGGGCAGTCCAGAGTACCAGGCAGGCTGCCGCCCAGATCTTCCAAAAGTACCAAAGATTGGACGCGATGATGATGGCGGTGCTCTGGACGATTCCAGCGGGCACAAGAAAATACGTGATGGGATACACACCCAGGTAGATCAGCACCGCGGTGAAAAGAACCTCCCATCCGCACTTGTTAGCACTAAACACATAGAACGAGCATCCCCACTGCCGTGTGTTGACTTCATTGTCCCAGGTGGCTCTGTGGGGCACGTATAACCTGCCGAGACTGGCTCCGTTCAACCCGAGGAATGGGACCTGCAGCCAGTACAGGACGAACCAAAACACGTCGGGGATGCACAGGGAGAGGATGAGAAAGGTGACGAGTCCGGTAAGGGTGTGGATCCTGATGTGGTCTCCCAAGCGGATCCAGTAATCGCGAGGGTGGATTTCCACGTAGTAGCGAGCTAGATCGAAGTTGTCGGCGTTGACTATGGTGTCCATGTTAATATCGGGCAGGCGCCCGCGCTCACGCTGGGATACATCCAGGAGTCTTAGGTTGTCCATTTTGGTGGATCGCTTTTTGACTTGGATGAGTAGAAATTATGTCGGGGCGTTGATTGGGTGGTTGAAGACTTCCGGCGCCTTGTAATGGAAACAATCGTAAGCCTGCTGAAAAATGTAAATAAATAAAAAAGAAGGATTCTGTGACGTGATTAGCATGTTTTCACAGGTAAAGGGGAGTTACTTGATGAAGAAAAAAAGGCGGAATGAAAAAGCGAAGGAAGAAAACCATGACTAGTTCGATATTGGCTTGCATCCCCGATAGTTAAGAGAAAATACTAGAACGGTACATGCTATGGATTGTTCGGGCAGTGGATGAGGACTCGCTTTGTCACAGGACCACATGTGCAATCTTTGTTGACTATTTTGGGAAGAGTCTTTTTGGCGTGGATCTGTCCTTTGACAGATTTAAACAAGGCATTCTTGATGACAGCCACGTGCTTCTAACAATAGTTTCTTAAGAACAGGAGGGAAGGAGGCTATCAGTTGTAGCTGGTCAGGGACCCACGTGACGGGTCACATGCTCGTTCTGCGCCATGCTGGAGTGGATTCACAACTCAAGTCACTTTTTACCAGAAACCAACCTATGCCAACACTGAGTCGCGTGCACACACCAGGAAAGAGCCCCAAATCCCACACGGAATGAACTTTTTATCTGCTTTCCGAGCTCCTACTAGGCCAGAAGCTCAATGGTTCAAGGTGGGCCTTGCCTCGTCATTTCCCGATCTTGGCGTTGACGAGGAAGACACCCACACCTTGGCGCACACTCGAACATGCAACACCGACACAGCACCAGGATGCAAAGTCTTCCATATACCAAAAGATGATCCTTCCTCTGGAAACGAAGTTCCAATCCCGGAGAATGAAGCCGCTGGCGACATGACAGACCAGGTCTTGGTTTTCAAACGGAAGGGAACCTTCCATGCTATCGACCATGTAAGTAGTGGCCACTCTCAAGCTTATCAGTTCTCTAACCGAGACACTGTAGCAATGTCCACATTCATCCTTCCCGCTTTCTCAAGGCCTGCCCTTTGATATTGAAGACTTTGGCATTGTCTTGAGTGCGGGAATCACCTGCCCAAAGCATGGCTGGTCCTTCGACCTGTTCTCTGGAAGGGCAGACAGGGGGAACTACAAGCTCAAGGTCTGGGAGGTACAACTACGAGATGCCGCCAACGATGCCTCGGACAAAGAAGTATGGGTGAGAAGAAAGCAGAGGATCGGGTAATACAATGCCGTGTGGTCGATCACAATGCCCGCCTCGAGGATGGGTGGGAGAGTGCTCAGAAATTGACCGCTGACAAAAATAACACACGGTTTCTTTGTGCCAACAACAGCCCGTAGATGGCTGGCTGGCAAAACGAGCTGCCGCCAACCAACGAAACAAAGAAGGCCCAGTCTTTGAACTCGGTATAAATCAGAACAATAACCCCCGCCAACTTGTTCAGAAAAGACTGTAGACCAAGAGACTCACTCACTCAAGCACCAACGCTTCGGCATCTTTCACTCTATTTCATTTGTTACTACACCCTATCGTTCCATCCACACTCTCCTGGTGAGAGCAGCCGTTATTTTCTATTACACTCTTCCCTGACACGTTATCAATCGCTCTTCCCATCGTTACCACCAATCTTCGACTACCTAAACAGCAAAATGGCCCCCAAGAGGAATAACAACAAGGCCCCCAAGGCCCCCAAGGCTCAAAAAAACCACAAAACCACCTCCAAGGTCAAGAAGGTGCAGGCACCTATCACTACCCGTGTGACACGCTCTAGGGCCCGTGAGTCTGGGGAGGAGTTGGTCTCTCTTGACATGTATGCATCGACTCGAACCCGAAGAAAGACAACTAAAACAACCGTCACTAACCCTACGGTTGACACCCCTACGGTTAACAGCACCGCGGTTACCAACACCACGGTGACCACTGAGATCAAGGTAACACCGTCAAAGGCGCCAGGCACAGAAGAGATCAAACTGAATCCACCCACCAAGAGAAAGGCGTCCACCGAAACACCTCGTGACTTGGAATCGCCTCCTAGAAAATTGGCGAGGAATGGCCGCGCACCAAAGTCGCCTTCTAATCCTAAGAAAACGCCCACCGAGAAACAGGTGGGTCAACCCCCGGTTACTCAGAAAGAGCCCCCAGTTTCCCGGCCAATGCCCCCTGTTACTCAAAAAGTGCCCCCGGTTCCTCAGACACCACCCCCGGTTACTCAGACAGAGGTCCCGGCTACTCAGACAGAGAAAGTAACCCAGGTAGACCCGAACTCTTCTACCAGCAGCAGTGGCATTGGTTCTGTCAGCGTTGGCAGCTCCAACTTTGCAAGCCCCGCGGGAAGCGAGAAAAGTGACAGCACCGGTGGCATCAGTTCTCTCAACGGTGGCTCTAACTCTGAGAAGAACCCCAGCTCTCCCGGTTTTCCCGACAAGCCTCCTAGTGATTCTGGGTCCGACCCTAACCCTCGGAATCTTGACCGGGCCCCTTTCCCAGCTCATACTAATGGTTTCCTTACTGCTCTCGTTTCCCTGCTCGAGATTGCTGACAATGTTCGCGGCTTGAAGCAGACAATTGATGAAACGCCTGGGGTGTCTCCTAACTGGGCCGACTCCGAGCGGTACTCCCGCTACTCCTCATCCACTGAATCAAGCCTCTACAGGTTCTAGTAGGTCTCGTGATTTTCATCATCACCATTCTCTACCAAGCAACGTGATGCAGAGAAGCAGTTAGCTAAAACAATAGATATTGGTTCTTCAATGCGCAATGAAGCGTCTTTTGACAAGTCCCCTCGTCATCTCGCTCTGTGAAGAAGTCGTCGTCGTCGTGGTCCAAAAGCAAGTCCAGCCTTCCTGTAACTTCTGACAACCACCACCACCGTGATGCCACACGCCCGATCAGAGCTTCGGTCGCTCGCCTCTACGAGACAGACTCTTCAGCAACACCCACACCACACCCACCACCATTAAAACCCGGCGTCTTCAAAAGGGCCTCCCCATCTTCAACAGAAATACATCCTTCCCATCGGGACCGGTACACCGGCCGTAGGAGACAGTCGCCCTCGCCAGAGTTGACAACCCCCCGACGAGGAAGTTACCTCTTCTTCTTCCTCCTCATCGGACAGCCAACCCCCCTCTGCACCCCAACCCAATCCCTAACCCAAACCCAAACCCCCTTAACGTCAACTCACCCGCGAAACCCACTCCAGAATCCAACCGAAGGCAATCCTCCGCCCAAACCGGATCAAAACCCCCTCCCCGCATCACCGTCGAAAATCTCCCCCGGGAGCCCGTCATGTCAACAGTGGTTAACTCGCGCACCCCGCTCCCCATCTCGAAGCCAGAGCCTGTCAGGGAAAGGATCATCCACGTGAACCTTACCCCTAGGTTTCAGAGTTTAAAGTCACGGGTGCAGTTCCTGATCAAGAATGAGGGCGGGCAGAGGAGAGCGAGGGCTGAACTGAGGTATCGGTTGGGACGGGTGCAGATTCATGCCCGGAGGGCGGTGTTGGAGAGGGCGATTGATGAGATTTTGGCGGGGGTGGAGGAGGAGCGGAGGGTTAGGAAGGAGGTGGGGGAGAAGATCACTTGGT